TAGAGTTAATTTTTAAAAAGCAGTTCTCTTTAGAAAGACTTAAATACTGACAAGTCATAACTGAGATTATATATAATAATTTAATATTTACCAATGATTACATTAAAGAAATATAAAAAAAAGTGTCTGTTTCACATAGTTAAGATTAAATTTCTCAATGTACCCATATGCCATTTAGGATCTGTATCCCGGCTGAAATCTGGCAGTTTCCTCAAAAATTAGTTCTTTCAGTTTTTCCTTCGGCAAGTCATCCAGCTCCATATCAAATTTGAAGGGTGCTTCAGCTACAGGCTTTAAAAAATAAAGAAGAGGCCATCAGAAACATGGGTAATATTGAAGTACAAAAGGAATATATGAATGGGAATAACTTTTTTTGACTTTTTAAATGTTGTAAAACTGCTCGGAAGACCTGGTGGTCAAAAATAGAATATGAATCTTATACAATAATGCACGGTGAGGTATTTCTACACTGTCAAACAGCCATAATACAATAGCCTCCATACCTCATCGCTGGGATCGTAATATTGTTCTAGATATGGATGGGCCAAAGCTTCTTCCACTTCAATTCTCTTGTGAGGGTTGAAAGTCAACATTTTATCCAACAAATCAAGAGCTAGAGAGAGAATTTGAGAATTAGTTTGCTTTGCACCGTACTCATCGGGATCTCCATCTAGTACATAACACGATGAATGATTTTTAATATTTTGCTTTCCAGTGACGCAAAACCGGTTTCACAGAACAGCTGGAAAAATTGGGTGCTAGGGCAAGGCAGGACTCCATCTACAATAAAGACATTTACTGAGAAGAAGAAAATAGGAAATACGTGCGTGTTTTTGGAACTATGGACTGGCATGAGAATTCTATCAACTGCTTCTAATTCTGCTTGACATGAGAAAGCAAACGTTCTTTTTCTCCTGCTTTGAACTTTTTTGCCATTTCCCTAATTTACGTGCATGTACATTACAAGGAAGGCCTCTCTCCTTCCACCCTATCACCAGCATAAAAGTTCTACGTGCACCCATGCAAAGATTAAAGTATCTATGCAATGAGACGAAAGACTCAATTACATGACAAAACATATGAAATACATAGCACGCCAAGACTATCAAATGCTAGTTTCTATTGGTGTCCTCCAAAATATTCAGGTTCTACATAAGCTATAAAACAAAATTATTATCAGTTCAAACCTCTACTTCTATCATATTAAGTAAAACATCAGTCCTTCCGTTATTCACTCTTGAATAAAGACTATCAGATCACTGTGAATTTATCAAACACAGCTCCACAAAATACGACTGGTATGCTATGAAAGACCTGGAATATTTTTAGAGATAGCATAGGATATTTAGACATTTAGAAGACGTCTGTCAATGTATTTATGAGGAAGATCATAAATATGGAGGGCTTATGATCCGTAATTCTTTTGATATGAGTATTAATGAAGAAAGAGAAAGAGCAGGAACTCTCACACAATCTCAGCTCTCATAACTTTTTCTGAAACTCATCTTATACCATGATATTCCAGGACCTCAGTGTCTTATTCTTTGCGATTACCTTTGGGGTCAGCGTTTGGAAATAGTCTGTTCCACGGCACCTTGTTTTTATATGGTAGAGAAAGCAAATAGTTTCTTGCTTTCGCGTTGATTATACAGTTCAAGTCTTCTTGGGAAGGAGACCCAAGGATTCCTACAACATGAAGAAAAAAAGGAGAAAAATTACTGCAGAAATAAAGCAAGTCCTGCACCTCTGCTTGATGAATATATGCACTCTTAAATTTGCTATCATTTGGTCAAGTTGGCATTCTGCTCACTTCAGCCTTGGCACAAATGGCATCTGGGGAAAGGGCTACCCTCAACCTACTGAGATTGCTTTGCCCGCTGTTCCTAAAGAGGAGAGAACTTGGCCATGGATATAGAGCTACTAGATTATTAACTGGGAATTGCTAATATGAACACATTTCATTGATACAGAAACAATTTCACTGTGCCCATTTCCAAGGGCAGTTCCAACAGTTAGTGGTCATGTTTTCAGGTTCTTTAAAGTATTCTTTCTCAAGTCAGGGTGCCTTCCAGATGTGGGAACCTCAACTTAAACTGCTTGGCCATTGTGAAGAATGAGTCCATGTGTTTCAAAGCGCACAGGTTGGGGATGGCAGCTTTCTGAAATGGGAATCACAAAATTCTCCCCCCTGAATCTGTGCCCGCAACTAAGGTCATTTATAAATATAAAATACAAAATGTGAAATAGCTGGCCACACCTGGTTCCAGCAATCACACAAAGAAAAAGGAAGAAACACCAATTAGCCACATCAAGAGTCTCTGCCTACTATATCATGTATACGTAAAAAGAAAAAACGTACCAAGAATATGGTTGAGCTGATCAAGGTAGTGTTTTCCTGGGAAGATGGGTCTGTTTGATAGCATCTCTGCCAGAATACAGCCTACAGACCAGATATCAATAGATTTGGTATAACCCTAGACACAGAATGGGGGAAAAATTGCTATAGTGGTGAACAATTTACAGTTCTAAAGTTCTAAAATATGATCATTTTCTAGCATAGGTCACTACTTCTAGCACTTGAGAAGACTTAGGACTTTACACAACCGTTCTTGAACAATGAAGCATTACAAAAATGCATTATAAAAATTAAGAATATGTGTCTATACAACTCCATAAACTAGCTTACTCAATTCCTTGTAGTCCAGGGGACGTGTTTCAAGGCACATGGGCATGCAAGGACAATCTTAAATGGATAAATACAAGTTACCCAGCTATAAGCCTACACAAAAAACAGTACAATATTCTAGAAAAAGAAAGTACTGTTTATAAAGCAGGAAGCACCATCTTATGATCAGCAAAGTTAAACTAGTGGTTTACCTAAACTAGGCTCTCTCTGTTAAACAGGACTAACAACTGATTTCCATGATAAACAGAAATAGCACTGACTGATTATCTGATTTGGATCAAAAGACTGTCTACTATAATATTAAACACAAAATATTTCAGCCCTCACATGTTGTGCTCCTTTATGCAAAGCTCTCACCTTAGAATTCAACATGATTTCAGGAGCTCTATACCAACGAGTAGCTACATATTCTGTTAGGAAACCAGTGTGATCATGATCTGGGTCTGCCACGCGAGCCAAACCAAAGTCACATATCTATTATGGGATAGAAGAAAGGGTGGTTTTTTTAGAAGTAGTTTTTTTATTTTCAGCCACATTTCAGCCTTCTGAGATTTGCAAGTTATAGTATAAATTGCTTAGGGATGTGCACTAAGCAGAAAATACGTTTTGTTTCAAACCCAGAACAAACCATTATATTCTGGAAGTTCTGCCAAACTGATTGGTTTGGCAAAAACAAAACCCACAATGTTTTGGTTGTTCTGGGTTTCAGCCAAACAAAACCAGAGGCATCCTGGAGAGATTTAATGGGGTGAGTAGGGCAAAGCTGGGGGTATATATTGCCCCCTCTTTCTCTGCACCGCAACTCCCGGCATAGCATATCCCACTACTAAAACCCTATTTCAAGCACCTTCCCTTCCCTTCCCTCCCTCAGGCACCACCAATGCACTGGTCCCTGTTTTATTCTACAATGATCTCCGAAATAAGGAACATCCATGCATCCAGCATGGGTGCAGCACATTCCATCAATAGGATTTGAATAAGCTATTCAAATGTCCATAATTTGAGTCTTTCCAGGCACCCAAATTCATTTTTAAAATGGCATGGTAAATTTTAGGGACCTACATTCCATACGAGGAAAAGACTTCAGAGAATCACTTCAGTTCCAAAAAAAAAGGCTAAATACTAACCTTGAGATCACAAGTAGTGTTTAGCAGCAAGTTGGATGGTTTAAGGTCACGGTGTAGTACGTTGGCTGAATGGATGTATTTCAGTCCTCTCAGAATCTGGTAAAGGAAGTAACAGATGTGATCGTTGCTGAGATGCTGAGTCTTTAAGAGCTTGTAAAGATCTGTCTCCATGAGATCTTGCACAATGTATCTGAACATCAAATTAAGGCAAAAAACTAACAAACATTATATATCAGAGGTGCAACTTGGCTGAGCTCCCGAGATGTTTAAAATTGTATTTCTGTATTTCAAACAATTACAATATTTTTGGGTTGTTCATGGATACAGACACATATGGACAACCAACGTCCTTAGTACTTTTTAAGATCATATAACTCTTGGTTTGAATTATTTTCATTGCACAAAATTTAAAGGTGGCATGAATTCCATATTCTTTTGTATGGTGCTTAAAAGGACCAGATCCTTTGTAAAATTCTCAAGACTGCTTCAAAATATTTATTTCAAGCATGGAATATATGTACATATGATTTATCTTTTTTTCAAAATGCATAAGCTGCCCTTCAAAACCAGGCTTCCTAGAGTAGCTTGTAACAGAATAAAACCATTAAAAATGCTAAATAATTAAAAATATGCAACACAGCACAGTAATCAAAGCAAAGCACTACAATAATAAAAAGAGCAGCATGAAGAGTTAAAACATTTTTGAAGAACATTTATGGTTAAAGTCAACACCAAAATTGATTAAAATACCTGGGAAAATACAAACATATTTGCCTGTCACTGAAACACAATATACAGTGGGGCAAAAAAGTATTTAGTCAGCCACCAATTGTGCAAGTTCTCCCACTTAAAAAGATGAGAGAGGCCTGTAATTTTCATCATAGGTATACCTCAACTATGAGAGACAAAATGGAAAAAAAAATCCAGAAAATCACATTGTTTGATTTTTAAAGAATTTATTTGCAAATCATGGTGGAAAATAAGTATCTGTGAGAGCCAGACATCTTGCTTGTTTGTAGGTGACCAAATACTTATTTTCCACCATGATTTGCAAATAAATTCTTTAAAAATCAAACAATGTGATTTTCTGGATTTTTTGTGTCTTTTATACTGATAACAAGGTCAAACAGGTGCCATTACTACAGGTAACGAGTGGAGGACAGAGGAGCCTCTTAAAGAAGTAGTTACAGGTCTGTGAGAGCCAGACATCTTGCTTGTTTGTAGGTGACCAAATACTTATTTTCCACCATGATTTGCAAATAAATTCTTTAAAAATCAAACAATGTGATTTTCTGGATTTTTTGTGTCTTTTATACTGATAACAAGGTCAAACAGGTGCCATTACTACAGGTAACGAGTGGAGGACAGAGGAGCCTCTTAAAGAAGTAGTTACAGGTCTGTGAGAGCCAGACATCTTGCTTGTTTGTAGGTGACCAAATACTTATTTTCCACCATGATTTGCAAATAAATTCTTTAAAAATCAAACAATGTGATTTTCTGGATTTTTTGTGTCTTTTATACTGATAACAAGGTCAAACAGGTGCCATTACTACAGGTAACGAGTGGAGGACAGAGGAGCCTCTTAAAGAAGTAGTTACAGGTCTGTGAGAGCCAGACATCTTGCTTGTTTGTAGGTGACCAAATACTTATTTTCCACCATGATTTGCAAATAAATTCTTTAAAAATCAAACAATGTGATTTTCTGGATTTTTTGTGTCTTTTATACTGATAACAAGGTCAAACAGGTGCCATTACTACAGGTAACGAGTGGAGGACAGAGGAGCCTCTTAAAGAAGTAGTTACAGGTCTGTGAGAGCCAGACATCTTGCTTGTTTGTAGGTGACCAAATACTTATTTTCCACCATGATTTGCAAATAAATTCTTTAAAAATCAAACAATGTGATTTTCTGGATTTTTTTTTCCATTTTGTCTCTCATAGTTGAGGTATACCTATGATGAAAATTACAGGCCTCTCTCATCTTTTTAAGTGGGAGAACTTGCACAATCGGTGGCTGACTAAATACTTTTTTGCCCCACTGTAGTTGGTGCAGGCATTCCTAATTTGGGATACTATTCTAGAGTTGTGCCAGGGGGTGGAGATCCTATTGAAAAGAGGAGGTACTATTGAAAAAGCCCACTTCCAGGTAGCACCTCAGTGGGGTCTATATTTTCCCATCCAGTGTTACACAAAAGAGTGACTTGGGTTTAGCCAAATTTATTGTTGGAAAGTGTCACTGATTAACCAAACTGCAGAAGTCAAGAATTCAAAGTTTTGTATCACTTTGAACAGTACCAAAATAAATAATTTCACTTTAACCCAAAGAAGAAAAGATGACAATGAGAACAGAAGAATGTATTATCTTTAAAGGATACACGTCTTTCATTTGATCAATAGTTGGAGCCCTAATAATGTCATTGATTCCAATAATATTTTCATGCTTGAAACGCAACAGGATTTTGATCTCTCTCAGGGTTCTTTGACAGTAAGTCTGGTGTTCAAAAGGGCTGATTTTCTTTATAGCCACTCGAACTCTGTTTACGTTATCATAGGCTGAACTAGAAAAAGAAAAGTTAATAAAATAAACTCAATGATCTACTGAACAAGAGGCATTCTTAAGTAATTTAGCAGCATCTCAACCTTGTCTTCTAACCAAGCTTTGGTAAGTTTCAACTTTAAAAACTTCCTTTGATACTGACCACAAAAATTGCATGGTACCCCAATTTCCCCTCGAAATCTTTGCCCCTGTTGAGTTACTCTTCCTTCTCAGCAATATAGCAGATAAAAATTGTACGTCCCAAAAGAAATGTTGTTGACAACAAAGAGTTGGCTCCAGCACTGTACACAATGAGGTTGCAAAGAACAGACTGTCCAACCTCTTCTTTTCATAACAGTCTTGCCTGATTCCAGAGAAAGTGAGGATTGTGGGATTTAGCTGAAGGGTTGGGTTGTGGCCAAGGGACCGAGAGGAAAAGAGAGGTTTCCTCAAATCAGGCCACTCTGATACCCATTTACCATTTTTAGGGCAGAAAGGGCTGTTGTGAGGAAGAAGAACAGGAAGGACTGCTTCAGCCAACCCTGTTATGTACAGCACATGTAACTCTGGATCTAACGCACTGAAGTACTCACTTTAAGTCATATTGCAATAATTTAGCTCTTCTGCCAACAACACTGCCCACCTCCGTAAGCATACTGCTATCATGGGATAGAATGGTACTGAGATAAAAATGCTATAATTCAGCAAAGGATAATAATAAACAAGTGGGACTTTTCCTGTGGACTGGGATACATTAATCTAGCCACCCATCTGCCTTCCTGGTTGTCCTGCTAACAATCGATTACGTTCTGCTCTGGTGGTTTTCCAACACTTGAAGAGCGCTAATAAGTCAGCTTATCTGAATTTTCAGAAGTTTAGGGAATGCGTCCTTTGAATAGAAGCAAGATTATTGCTTCTCGACCCAGCTCCTACTGTTGCTTGGCGACCACATTTAATTTATTTTAAAACTTCACTCCAGATTTCAAACCTAATAATAATAGGTGCTTACAAATTCAGTTTTCAACGGAAAGACGGCTCCTGCCAGCTATAATCTAATAGAACCATTCCAATAACGTGGAAGACAAGAAAGAATTGAAACAGAGCTTTTCCATCCCTTTGGCTGAGATATTCCATCTCTATTCTTCCCACCGCGGTCATTGCGGGAGCTATTCAAACAGGCTAAATGAATTATTTCTAGATAACCACTATAAAAACGAAGTTGGATTGCCTTTTCCTCCTGGGTCACATACTGTAGGTGTAAGTCTGAGGGCAGGAACTCTCTTTCCAATGATCTTTATGAGCTCTCAAGGAACCTTCCTGATTAAAGAGGTAAAAATGCCTTAAGTAAACAAAACTTCTGGGAAAAAAAAAAAAACCTTGCAGCCAATTTAACCCTGGAGGAATTCAGAAAGGATTAACTCCAGCCTGTTTTTATCCTCCACTTTTACTCTTTACACAGATAGCGTATTTCCCCATAGAATTAGCCAAATTAAAAGGAAGATTTTCAGAGAAGCTGTCCAGTAACAGATTTATAAGTGACACAATAAAAACTGGAAGAGAAAACTAAAAGAATAATAAGAGACCCATTATCAAAAGCGAAAGAAAGTTATTAGGAAACAAGAGCTTTGCATGTGTGTGCAAAATATGTGGATTTCACAGAAATGGGAAATAAAAGGCTGACACCTAAAAATAATTAATTTTTATACTGTTGACCAAGGGGAAAAAGATAATAATTTATTAAACTTGTATGCCGTCTAACTCTCAACAACTCTGGGTGGGTCACAACAAACAAAGAAATTAATGTTTTATAACTTTCTTCAATCAGATGCTCTCCAAACCATTGTACTGGGACCACATTCCCAGAATTCCTTGAAAACATGGCCAAAGGTATTATTCAGATCAAAGATCAAAGTACAATCTATCTGACTGGTTAGGAAGTAAGTTTCTTCTCTTTTTTGCTGAGCGACAAATCACTGGTCTGCCACTGCACCTCTGTCAAGGCCATGAATGATTGTGCTTTTAAATGTTCGGGATCACAACATTTCAAGATTACAGATAAATGGCCATTCTTGCTTCTCAATCTTTTTATGATTTGCCTATTAACACAGAGAGAAGGGTCACGGTTTAAAAAGCAAAGCCCTCATAGCACCTTCCAAAGATGGTTTCAATAGCTTATAGAGAGTTGGTCAACACACCTATTGGGTGCCCAACTTCAGAAAGGCTGCTCTAGAAACATGGAAGAATTCTACTGGATTGTTTTAAATCTTTGTCATAGTAAGAGTGGGTCTCATATGACAAATTAGAATTCTATGACTGCGACAGCTATATGTGAGAGAAGGGCTTTTGCTGTCTTCTAGGCTACTGAAAAGTTTTAAAGAACTTATTTAAATCAATTTGCCTAACTAGGAAGTGGAGGTAGCCTGTAAGAAGCAATCGTCAACTTTATTCTTAGAGAAAAAACAAACTAACTCAGAGCATAAATTGAGAGCAGAGGTGGAACAAGTACAGGCTTCAGCAGAGAGAAGACAAAGAAACAACTATTATTAGAGCAAGCGTAGACCAGACGGTGTCTGGAATTTAACCGAGGAAAAAGAAACATGAATTTACAATGGGCAACTTCAATCAAATTTCCTTCAAAGAACGTCAGCAGCTCAGGAATCTCAGCTTTTGCAAATAGACGGGACGAGCAGTAACAGTGCATCCACTGAGTCCAGAATCAAGGAAAGGGATGAGTTAAAGATGAAAGTTTTGATACCACTGTGTTATTTCAGTGGCCCCACTCATAAGCATTAACGTTTCAAGATCTTGGCTTATTACTCTCAAGACAGCATGTTTCCACTTCACTCTTCTTGCAAGTAGAAACGGCAAAAGAATTCCTCATAACAGAAAAGCCAGAATTACTTGCCGTTTCCCTCCTCAAACGAAGTGGATCTGGCAGCCAACTTCAAATTCTAGCTTCAAACTATATCTTGCTGGTCAGGTGACAAGGTCAGATGTGTTGTTCAGATGTAACATTAAGCTTTTTCAATCCTAAAAGGTTCAGCTCTACCCTTCTTGACAAAAAAAAAAAAAAAAGAGCTTGAGAAATGAAGGAGAGAATATTGGCATGCTTGTTCATGAATGTTAAGCCAGGATTCTGAAGAATTATGGCTTGGTATTTTCTGCAATAGAGCCGGAGAAAGCAGCTTCCTATGTTCCTAAGTTACGAGCCCTGAGGCGTGGGCAGAAGTGACAGGAGAAATAACACTTTAAAGATGGCTGCAGTATCAGTACATTGCACCTTGAAGACACAGGCATAGCAAGGAGGGAAGGAATGAAATGGTGGCCACGCTAAGAAAAGGGCTACAGGAAGCCAGAATTCTGAATAAGGGATTCAAAGAAAGCCATTATATTATTGAACGTGAGAATGTGGCTCGCCAAAGGATAAAAAAAACAGCACCAGAGAAAGGTGGAACCGGCTGGTTCAAAAAGGTTGTTAACCTGGATGCTGAATTACCAAGGCGCAAAGTGCAAAAAAAGTCAGAGAAAGAAAGGGAGAAGCCACAAGAGGTCTAGCCTGAAAGTGGAAAGGAGGAGTATTGATAAATGACAACATGCCACAACTACACAGAGATAAAGAAGGAAAAATGCAGACTCAAGCTTCAGCAGTGGGGAAAGACAGCAACCCAAGGCTGAGCCTGGCAGATTTTGCCAGGGAACTCTGCCATCAGTCAGGTAAGGTTGTAAAGACTGCCAAAAGTGGGAGTAAGAACAAAGAAAGGCTACATTCATTCATATTAAGCCATGATTTGCTTAACCGTGACTTACTAATAACCCACAAGTGGTTGGGTTTGCACAACGTGCTAAAAGAAAAAGAAAAAAAAAAAAAGGATTTTGGCTTTGTGTGTTGGATGAATCCAGCCACGGTAGTCGGATGAAACCAGACTGTGCTGAAACCAGAAAGACATTAGAGAAAACCAGAGAAGTCTAGTACCCAAGCAAGCAATGTTTTCCAGCTTTGTTGAAATCTTTTCAATCTGCCTGACTAGCATGTGTGCTGAACACTGAAGCAGACATACGGACGTGGATATCAGAGATCTGGGTAAGAGGAGCCTTTGGTTACTTCTCCAGGTAGCACCTGTGTTTTAGCTCACATCAGTCACCTCACTAGTGCAAGGCCTCATATGTGAGTCTAGCAAAGATAGCGACACCCTCATTCTGAACACTTTTCCCTGGAATGGAAGCACTAATAATTTGACTCAGAATCTGGATGTACACATGGGTATAATCTGTTGAAAAGTGCATATGCCAAGATTGTCTTAAATTCTCACCTATCTGCATGCACAAAACTTTTCTTAAATTCCCACTTTAGCATCAGTTAACAGCCACAGCTGACTGTCACATATCGAAGCTTCAGGTTTGAGACTAAATCTCAGAAACAGTTTTCACATAAATAAAGTACATCCACTCACACATATAATACAAAGAATGATTTGTATAAAATGATAAAATCAGAATTCTTTCAATTAACTGTTAATACTGTATTCTTTTCAAAAAAATTATTTGATTGAAATGTTATCAGCCCAATAAGACAAACCTATCCATTGATTAGTCAAGCAGTCAAACAACTGTTAAGTTTTAAGATATTAGAATTTTAAAAATGAATTACAGTCTTGGTCGTATGCTGGATCAGAAAAAGGCAATTCCCCAATGGAAAATACAATTCTTGAGCACTTATGCCAGTTTTCCTTGATTAAAAAAAAATCTAAGAGATGAACAATCCTTTTCAAGAGGAAAACAATTAACTAAAAAGATCCTAATGTAAAGTGCCCTGTGCACATGCTATGAACAGAATGCTCTTCTGCCTCCCCCTCTGAATTGATAGTGGTGGGATAGATCTTGCACCATGTGACAACAGGCATTTGACTGAGGGGAGTTAAATTCTGATTTTAAGCTGGCTAGTTCACACAACACAGGAGACCAAAACAGAGGAATACAGGCTTGCTGAACACCTCTGCAAAACAGTGCCAGTTGAAAAGGAGCAACACCAGTGGCATTAAGCACAAAACCTTCACAACACAAATATGTAATATCACTGCCACTTCTCTGGCTCTAGTAACTACAGAAGGCCCTGGGAAGGGTTGAACTGCTCCTAAATGATTTAAGAAGTGCTGAATGAAATATACCCCCGACTACTATAGAAAACTATCTGATCAGAACTGACCAGTATTTCCAAACAGGAAAACCTGCTGAATGGAAGGCATTTCACATTTACCTCTGAGCTACTGAAGCACATTCTCTTTATTTCAATAGTAGTTAAGTACCTTAAAACTATCTGGATTATATGAGTAATCTCATAAGCAGAATGTCATCATTTGGTTCTGGGTTTTTGGGGGGGATCAGGGGCTACTGAGACATTTTCGTTGTGTGACCATCACTAAATCCTTCCTTATTCCAATAATTCCTGCCAGCATAATCCCACTGATTTAATGTAATATATTCTATCATGAGGATGATGGGTAAATGTAACAGTGGCACTTAACCCAAATCTTCCTACACAAGAGTTCTATCACACATTGCAACAGAGCAAGAATGAAAGCATTGCAGATACTAAGCAGCAAACAGCTTTCAAATCTTTGCTCCTTGCACTCACAACTTCTTGTACCCAAATTTTTTAAAGTATGTAAGACACAGTAAGCTATCCATCAAACCCTCTGCAAAAATAAATCGCCCTTTTTCATATTTGGTCTATTCTCCTACTGTACTCACAACAGCATCCAATAAGTAGTAAATCCCATCTAAATCCAATTTAAGATTTTTTTTGTTACTTCTTTAAGCATGTCCATGACAAACAGCCACTAAGTCACAGGGATACCAGTAGAGAAAGAAGGGATGATGCCCTGTGGGCAACAAATAGTAAAATGGGGAGAGGCATATAGTACCTGAGCTCTGGGTCTTTGCTTTCCCCCTTAGTTTACTATGGAATGGGGGATCAGGTGTTCTTCTAGCATCTTTTTGGAGTCCACTTCCCAGAAAATTCACATACCACATTCATGACCATCAAGTCAAACATATTAAATCACACTTGGCATACATTCTCTCTATATATGAACACAGACACATTTACAGACACACACTCAGTTTCATGCTTGCAATGAAGAGTACGGTTAATAATGCATATCTGGCATTAAATTTCATATTTAGATTGTATTAATGGCAGCAGCTTAGAGTGAAGTGACTTGTTGAAATTATAGCAGGCAAATAAACATAGGGGAATGTTTTATTAGGTAATCTGGCAAAGGAGATAATAAATTAGATCATTATTGCTGTTATAATACTAATAATAGGAGGGAGCATAAATAGGATGGGTTTACGTATTCGTGGCTGCAAAGTCTCCTTCTGTTGGAAAACGTGCATAGGATCAAACCGAGAATTTGAAATATATGCTTCCTGAAGGCAAGACTCCTTATTTTAGGATATGATTGCTTAAAAACAGTGCTTCCCCAAGGAATTTACCACAATTAAAATATAAGACATAAATGTTGTCCAGGCACATAAATGGCATGGAAATTTCAGGTATCAACCCCTTTTGAAAATAATGGGAAGTCAGGCAGAGAAAAAGCAAGAGAAGTGACTGCTTTAAATAAATAAATCACTGATATAGGTCAACACACACCTATTTTGACTGCTTTGCATTACAAAGGCACTGACTGCCTCACTGAGGCACAACAGGCAAAACAACTGTGTTTTGCGACAGACAAGGCTGCAATCCTAAGGATATTGGACCTGGCTGCTCTAATCCCCAAATAAAAGCACCCAAGATTGCTCTGTCCAATCTCCAGACTCTTGACTTCATCCTTGGCATGTTTTAAATGCAACCCTGCCACCCAACCGCATTTGCACTTGATGTAGAGCATCCTGCCCAGCAAGAACAGAGCATCGGCGTGGGGTAGCGGCGACGGTGGTGGCTTTTCATCGGGGAGGCCCAGCCATGGTAACTCTTGGGGTGACTCAGGGGCAGTTGTTCTTTCTCTCGGGCCCAACCCACCTCCCTGGGTTATTGCAGAGGAGGGAGCTCCAGCTAGGCAGAAACCAGATGCACTGAAACCAGCAAACAGGCGGCAGGGTTGCGTTTAGAAAGGCTGCGGCAACCGGTCTCTGTGCAGGTGTGTTAAAGCACCCCAGAAGCCAGGACCTCTCCAAGACGGCGTGGCTGCTACTCCCCTGGTCACTTAAAACATGAGAGGAGCGCAGCGCTCCAGAAGGCCCCCCTTCTCCCTAGGCTGGTGGCCTTCAGACCCCATCCCCGTCGTCTACCACCAACATGGGAAGGCCCTCTGATCCCTGGGGCAGCGATGGGAGTTGTGGTCCGACCTGCCTGGAAGGCGGAGCACACGCCCCCACCTCTCCCCAACTGGACCCCCCACCCCATCATCCACCACCAGCATGGGAAGGCAGCGATGGGAGTTGTGGTCCGACTGTCTGAAAGGCGGCGCGCACACCCCCCACCTCTCCCCGCCTAGTGCCGGACAACCATCCCCATCAGCCCCTGCCGGGGGAAGCGAGGGGCCTCCCCGACTGGACCCTCCCCCCATCATCCGCCACCAGCATGGGAAGGCAGCGATGGGAGTTGTGGTCCGACTGTCTGAAAGGCGGCGCGCACACCCCCCACCTCTCCCCGCCTAGTGCCGGACAACCATCCCCATCATCCCCTGCCGGGGGAAGCGAGGGGCCTCCCCGACTGGACCCTCACCCCATCATCCGCCACCAGCATGGGAAGGCAGCGATGGGAGTTGCGGTCCAACCTGTCTGGAAGGCAGACCACATGCCCCCCACCTCTCCCCGACTGGACTCCCACCCCATCATCCACCACCAGCATGGGAAGGCAGCGATGGGAGTTGTGGTCCGACTGTCTGAAAGGCGGCGCACACACACCCCACCTCTCCCCGCCTAGTGCCGGACCACCATCCCCATCATCCCCTGCCGGGGGAAGCGAGGGGCCTCCTTACCAGACCATCCCGTAAGCCCCTTCCCCGATATAGGAGAGGTTGGTGTAGCGAGGCCCCACGTCGAAGGCCTGCCCGCGCACCATCTCCGGGCCCCCGGCGGGGCTCCCGCAGCCGCCCCCGGCCGGCCCCGCCC